ACCTCTACCTTCACCTACCCCTTCTATATAGTGCCTTTGCTCTCTAGCTGGCGCGCATTCTCTTTTTTGCGGAACTTGTGCGCTTTAAACTAGTTTGAAGAACCAGATCTTCAAACATTCTTCGAGTAAGGAGATGCCACATTATTTCCTAATAGCTCTGTTGATGATGATTATTAAAAAGGAGATGCCACATAATTTCCTAATAATTCTGTTGATGATGATTGTTAAAAATTCGATTGCTATTTATAAAATTTGCAATATTTTATCCAATTAAGTTACTTATAAATGGGAATCATTAATGGACGAGTGACAATTGACACTTATTTTGATTGTGATTGTTTTCCAGTAAGTGGATATAAGTCTTTCTTTTGCAGTTCATTTTTTTAAAGGAAGGTATAAAAGCTGCCGTCTAATGGATAGTTATTAATCAATGAAGAAACTAACATCAATATAAATAGTAAATACATAGGAAATGGACTAAATGGATTCAGAAAAATTCCGTATAAACCTGGAGTTTCGAAGATTGCAGGATAGTTCTCCACAAAATAGACATAAATATTTTGCCGGCAAATTGCAGTCCGAATATAACAATATTTGTGTAGCTGTAGTCAAAAGTTTGTTGTTCTTGGAACTTTTATTTTCATTAATTGTTTGTTTTCTTTTTTCGAGCTAAGGACAACACAATGAGATACTGAAGAAAGTTGTACGAATATACTTACGTACTAGTTTAAGGGACTGCCGGGCAGTCTTTCCATTCTTCTTTCTATGCGTTGCAACCTATGCGACAATAAAAAAAAATGAAGGTAGCAACAACAAGTAGAGCATACCATTTCCGGCTTGTGCCAAAGCCAAGGCTCAGAAAAGCAACCCCCTGTTTAGGTTTAAAATTAAATTAGAAAACATTGCTTGCTGCTTGCCGCCGATCATTGTCCGCTTTGGGTTGTTGTCGTTGTCATTGTTATTATTCTTGTTGTTGTTGCTTTTTGGCATGTGGGCGTTGCAGCTGCAGCTGCCGCACTCGCACTTCACTTTGGCGCGTCGAAAGCAGCGCGCGCGACCAACCAAAGCGTAGGCGCTGTTAAAAAAACCAAAGCATCTTTCTTCCTCTCCTCTCCTCTATTTGTTTTTTTTTTTTTAATTTATTAAGTTTTTCGTGCGTCGCGTGGGTGCCAAAGAAAATCTTCAAAACTGGTGCACGGAATTATGCACGCAGCGCAGAACGTGCGCTCGCCAGCAGAGATGCGGCACAAGAAGAAGAGGTACGACGGCAGCCATGGGTTAAGATGTTAAGAACTCAGAAGTGGCAGCGGTAGTCATTGAAGAAATACACAAACAAATGGAAACACAATTAAATTGAAAATGTTTGGCTATAAAAAATAAAAATAAAAGTAAAAAGGAGACGCCGCTTATTGCCAACAATATTTAATATTCTGTGTCTCTGTGTATATGTGCATGTTTTTGTATATGTGTATATGTGCGCTTATAGCCGAATGTGTGTGTGTGTGTGTCAAACAGAGATGAAAGTCCAAAGAGCATGAAAGAGATAAAGCGCAATATGATATCCAGAAGTGCGAGTTGAAAAGTTTTTGTTGTATTTTTTATGCTTTTTGTTGTTGTTAACGTGTGTGAGTGTATGTTTTTTTTTTTTTTGTATTTTTCATATATAAATCGTTTGCTCAACGTCCGCAGACAGAAGCAGTTCGTCATGCAGGATAACTATAAAATGATGTAAATATAACTCTACAATTTCAATTATTTATTTGTAACAACGTTCAAGCGAAGAACCAATAGCAAAGAATTTTGAACTTTCTAAACTTTCTAAATACACTCCCATTTTGAAAATCCCAAATAAAAGATTACCTTGCAAGTAGAGCTCTTTTTCCTATGAATAGTTTGGAAAATTGTGAAACAAATATGTTTTTGTTAATTCTACGAGTGTGTTTGTTTTGTTTTTTCCCCCATATTCTTAAGCAGTTTTAATTAGCCGACTATTTGCGATAATTTCGAACTGCCAACTCGAATGTAACGGTTCGATAAGTTGACACAGAAGTCTAGCAAAACGTCTTGATGCAATGATCAACTCAATAATGTTTTGAAAGTTCATTGGAAATCTTCGTATTCAATTTGTAAATACTTTTATATGCTATACATTTAAAAAATTGTTGAGTCCATGCTGTTTATCGGAACTCTCTTTGTTTTCAATTTGTATATACTTGTATATATTATAGATTTAATTTAATCTAGCAAATAAATAAATGACAACAAATAAATGGTTTCAAAACATGTTTTCTTTGCACTGGAGCGTGTCGTTTTGATTCCATTCCTAATCGTCTCCAAGGCCTTTGAAATCAAATCAATCCGTTTGAAACCATTAATTGCTGATCTTTAAATACAACTTTCAATTTACATATATTTACATACATATGTATATAGAGATAAAAGCATTTAATCTGTATGGGAAAATAAGTTAAAAAGCAATTCAAAAACCTTTAATAGTTTGTTTCTTCGCATGAACGTCAAACTGAAGATTTAAGGCCAGTAGTCTGCTTTTGTGCGTACAACTTTTTAGAGCTATGTAGAAAGTAATGCGGAAACTTCTTTTTTTTTGCTTTGATTTTGAAACTTAACATTGCAGACTGCAGTTTCTTGGCGGGCGGCAACTTAAAAATGTCTTATGAGTGCCATTCATCACATGGTCGAACTTCCTATTTCTATACTCTACTGAAACGTGTGAGGGCATTGTGCTTATAGAGTTAGAGCTTGCCACGCAGACCATATTTCATAGGAACATATATGTGTGCTTATATGTCCATAAGTGCTTGTCTGTACGCTTATCTGTTCTAGTCACTATTTCTTCCACAGTTCTAGAGTTCGCATACCTACTCCTTAAAAATAATTATTGTTAATCCCTTAACAATGAAAAGTTTGACACTGCATTACACTGAAGAGATAACGAAACCGATCTCCTGGTTATAATGAACCGTTGCTGTTGTTATTTTTGGCTGATAAGTTACACAAAATAATATTTGATACTTCATAAAATAATATCTGAACCCAACGGCCTATTCAATGTTTCGAAAGTTTTTGATTAATGTATGGAAGCATTGGTTGTTATTGGCAGACACTGTGAAGGGTATATAGCTTCGGCACAAACGATTGCAACTTCTTGGCTTTTTTTTTAACTTTTTTGTTAGGGTGTTGGGGGTGCGAACTGTATAATGACATGGTTGGAGCAGCAGTGGGAGCCGCAGCCGGAAATGTCAGGCGGCACGAAACAAAGCTATCAAAGTTTGGAGCGGACGTGTATAATGTAAGGGGATAAGGTGGGGGGCAGATGGGCCATTAGATTTATTGGGGGTTGATGGGGGATGTCAAAATGTGTGAAAGGTGCCTTTGGCGGGGTATTGCGGCCGCTGTTCAACCTTGCCATGTCTCAAATATTTGCAAACTTGCGGCTAATTCATTTGCTTCACTTCTTGACTGCTCTTTCATTCCCCTCTCTCTCACTCTCTCTCTCTCTCTCACTCTTTCTCTCTCTCTCTCTGTCTCTCTATGTATTCTCTCGCTCACGCTTTCGCTTGTAGGCTTGCTTGCACAAAGCAGTTTTTAATTGATTTGCTTTTGCTTGTCGGCTCATTTTGCCTTCACCGTGGCCATGACCAGCCAGCCAGCCAGGCAGGCAAAGCGGGCAGAGCGATTTTGCCTCACTGCCCTGTCCCTGTTACTACCTCTGCTCTGTCAGCGAGTGTTTTGTTTTATGGAGCACACACACACACACACACACACACACATACACTCACAAACACTCACACACACATGTGGCATGCGCATGCAAAAGACGCCATCAATTTTGTTATTTTTAGCACGCAAATCGTTTTGCCATTGTGGCCGTTATGACAGCGACGCTCGAAGCTAGAAGCAGAACTATGTACACACGAGTATGCACATACATATGCTTCGAATGAGCTGGATGTGGGTGCTGGGGGGGCTGAGTGCGCTCCGGGTGCCGGGGGGTGCCAATGCCTGGCCTATGAAATGTGCAAAACATGTGCAACGGCTGCTGTTTCTGCTTCTGTCCCTGTTGTTGTTGTTGTTGCTGCTGCTGCTGCTGCTACAGTTGTTGATGATGATTTGCACTTCCACACATATACATACATACATGCTCGTATATAGTGTGAAGCGATATATGCACACTTCTGGTCAGAGAAGTAAGATCGTGCAATCTTTTTGCAAATGTTTTCTTCTGTTCTGTTTTCTTTTTTTTTCAATCAAATAGTTGAGAAATATGAGATACCAGGAAAAAAGGTGTACGAGCATAATGACATACTTATATTAATTGGCGAATAATCACAAATAGCTCACGTTTCTAACTAAAAGCATGAGCATGGGAAAATAAAACGAATGACATCATCATATTTAATAAACAAATACGACTAAACACTAAAGAAATATATAAATAAATTGTATTTACTATTTTATAATGGTAGTACAATAGTTGAACATGAAATCGCATTATTACCGAACAGTAATATTTCTATTTTTTGGCATTTATGTCTAGTTTAAGTTGAATCTAAATTTCATCTTAAATTCTTTTTAAAAAATATCGAAACTGTCGCTGGCTCTAAATCTCTATTGATGCCCTTATATGGTGAACTTTAAACTTCGACTTTGTTTCTCGTAAAATCTATAGAATTACATACTTATGTTGATGAAATATAAATTCTTACACCTTTATCTCGCTCTAAGTTGAGTCTGCCAGATTCCACTCTAGCCACTAATACAACTGACAATGGTTAATGCTGACTGCGAAATAATGCCTGCTATTGTTTCTTCTTCTCAATGACAACTGATGTGGCGTGTCTATAATTTTGATCAGGCAGTGTATATATGTATAAAGCAATTTGCCGGCATATGGCATCTGCAATTCGTTGGTAGAGCATGCGAGTGAAAGAGATATGGAGCTGCTATGTCGAAATTTATGTGTTTGTTTTGCTACTGACATGCTCGATGTGCTCATTTATTTGTGCCGCGACATTCGTCACAAGACGGCAAAACTTAACGGGCGCCTCGCCTGGTCGGGCTCTGCCTGGCTTGGCCTTTTGTCAACGTCAGAAGGTGAGAAGTCGCACAAGAATTAGATCAATATTTCGGTTTCGCTTGTTGAAGTAATGCTTCGCCCCCTCAAATGCCAAACTGTAGTTGTTATTGTTCTTCATTTGCCGACCATTGCCAACGTAATGACGGCGATTGTTGTTGTTGTTAGTGTTGTTGTTGCCGTGACTGCCACACTGGTTATTAGCCATGAAGGTTCTTGTTGGTTGATAAAAAAAAAAAAAGAAAAGCAGCAAAGAAAAACAAATATGAATATCTTGAACATGGCGTGCAAAATAAAGCAAGACATTGGCTGCATGGGCGACAAATGGCACTTGAAAATGCGAGCAGGTTTTGGGTTGAATTGAAAGTCAGCTTGTGTGGCAAATGATGACGATGACGGTGACGGGTTGCACAATCGTACGTATGCGTAATTTTCATATTACGTTCAGCACACGTTGCGTATGCGTCATATAATTTGCTTAATTGCGCATACGCCACGTTGCGGTCGGCCAAAGTCGCAGCCAACGCTTTTGTTGCGGTGCCAGTCAAATGGCGTCACAGGAAACGCAATTAAGCGCAAAACTTTTGCACGCACCAGCGAGCGGCCTTTGTAAATGAAGCGCCTTGAAGTATGCAGTGCAGGATGCGCCAACAGCAGTGCGAGCCAGCAACTTGCAACAGAGCCCATGCAAATTTAACTTAATGTCTACGTGTATGTATACAGATTTGAATGTGTGTGTATATATGTTCCTGCGTGTGTGAGTGTGTGTGTGTGTGTGTGTGTGCTGCAGCGATGGCAGCAGCTGCAATGAATGAAAAACAGCAGACCAGCGTTGTTTTTTTTTCTGTTTGTTCTTTTTGGACAACAATGGGTTGGTGAATGCAAACACCTGCACACTTATGCACTCATATTTTAACCCATTTTAGATAGTTTTTTTTTTCGATTAGCAAATTTATTCATTTAATATGCATATTATTTATTTGTCGCAAACCAACACAAGGCTGCCAATTTTTGGCAAAATATTTATTTATTTATGATTGTGACACATTTACTCAGTTGTTGATGATGAGGGCAGTACTGCATGTTCCTCTCTAAACGTAGAGTGTTTTATTGCATTGGAATTAGATTAAATCAATCTTCAATCAAAAAGTGTTTCCCTGATTAATTTAGATAGATCCGACAAAGCTGTGCTTCTTAAAAACTAATGGCTTACTGATAAAAAAAAAAAAACATTAAGAATTTGCTTTTAGCTCGAAAATGTTTGTTTCTGTTTGTGTTTATGTTTCTATTCCTAGCGAAACGTAAGTTTCAAAGTCGAAGCTGAAACTTTAAAAAAGATTGTAAAGTCAACTCATATCTAAACATCTCAACAGACTAACAGTATAACTCCTTCCTACAGATTGTGGCTTCGCATTTAAGCTCTTTTTGTTGTTAAAGAAAATATTCCTTAATAGATTTATATTGGAGGATCAAAATGCTGCAAAAAGTCAATATGCAGTTTGCTGATATCAGGGAGTGGTGGTTACAAATAAGAGTGGGAAACCGTAAACAGTATATTTGTATTTAATATGAGACTGATCGCAATACAATCGCAATTTTTGCATTAAGAGACCATTTCGATTAGAATAAAAATGCTTAAATTGCATTCAACATTAGACAAAGGCTGATTGAGGAGATTTAGAACTTCAGGCAGGCAGAGCACGGTCTGAAATGGGTTAACATTAATCGACGCAAATACACACATATATGTGTGTACTCGTATATATGTATTTGGCTGCATACGTTGGCAAATGTTTGTTATGAAACGAGCCGAGCACAAAAGACGACGCCACTCAACGACAGCAACAACAACAACCGCAACAAGCTGAAAAGGAACGAAAAAAAGGCTCGCGCACGAATAGCAAACGAAACGAATTGAAATGTTTCGTTCGGCTGCCATGCGGTGAAATTACACGAACACATACACACGCACACATGCACACGCATACATACACACGCACACATACACTCGCAATATAGTTTAACAGTTACATTTATAGTTGTGGCAGCGTTTCGTTGCTTTCGTGTCGTTTCGCTTCGAGTTGAGCTGAGCTCTCGAGCATGTGAAAATGTGTAAAACGCACACCAATGCATCGCTCACACACACACACACACACACACAGACACACATAAATATGCTGCTGCTGCTGCTGCAGTTCGTAGAGTTTTTGGGGTTATGTGGCATTAAGTTAAGTTGGCAATTTTTATTTGTTGTTTGTCAAACGTGCGATGAAGTGAAGTGCAGAGCCGAACTTGGCTGAACTAAAAAATTCAAAAAAACGATGCGGTTGCTGATGCCGACGTTGTCGTTGTCGTTGACGCTGCCGCTGCCGCCAACGACGACGACGCCGCCACCGCCACTTACAACAACAGCAACAACAATGCGAAGGCAAGGAGCGCGTGTCGTTGGCTGGCCAACGAAATTTCCGCGTTTTATGTTTGTGTATGTGTGTGTGTGGTTTAGATTTCTCAACTCGATTGTTAGGCACTTTTTTCTCATGTTTTTTTTTAGCTTTTTTCATTTAAGAAGAAGAAGAACAAGTGAATATCAGACAGTTGCCAACGCTCCAGTGCAGCTTTTGGCTGAGCGGAACTCCGTCAGTCAGTCAGTCAGCCAGTGAGTTAGTCAATGACTTGCTTCGGCCAGTTAACAGACGACGCTTCTACTGTGTATGTGTGTGTGTGTGTGTGTGTGTTAGTATATGTGTATGTGTGTGATTGTGTGACTTCGTCGTCGTCGTCAACGCCAGCGCCATCGCCATCGCCTCGCCATCGTTGTCGACGATGTCTGTTGTTGTTAGTGGGGGCATTGTCAACAACAAGAAGGCGACGCAAGTTCATACAATTCTGACACGCGGCGCGTTAAGCACGTGGCCACTGATAACACCGAGTGGCAGCAGCCGCAATATATTGTAAATCCAAAAAAAGTGCGTGAAAATTCTCAAAACCCTACAAAATATCAACACAATAATTTTTTTTTTGAAATTTTTTTCTACTTGCAATTTGCTCTGTATTGTTGTTATTGTTATTGTGCTTAGTGCAATTTTTTTCTCCAGCTTAGTGGTGGCAACATGTGCTCTTTGTTGAGCTTATCAATGAAACACTGTGATAAACAAGTGGCTTAAAACTAAGAATTTAAAATATTTAAATCCAAATAATGAAAAAAGCTACTCACTGCAATAATAATTTCAAAAGGCTGCTTCTCTGTGTGTATATCTGTGTGTGTGTGTGTTTTTTTTTTGAGTGCAGAAAACTAATGTGAAAAATTTAACAAAAATAAGTCAAAGAAAAAGTTACTGAAAACAGCAACAAAAAGTGCAAATCAACCAAGCTATTTATACATTTTGTTCTGTGCCTACAAAAGTGTAAAAAAATATAAATTTTGAGCCACAAATATCGTGCTATGCTATGAAATTTTGTTTTATCAAAATTTCAACAATACACACATACGAGTATATTGAATATCAGGCGCTTTTTAGCGACCAGCATTAAAGCACACTGCCAGAGGTGATATCAATTACAGCAACAGCAACAGCAACAGCAACAACAACCACAGTTGCAGCAACAACAATCGATACCATTTAAACTACAACAACAAGAGGTGCAGAGATGGGGTTGCACGGCAATGGGACCTTTGATTGCTGCGGAAATGGCAGCAATAATCCCAATGGCAATGCCAATGAGCAACACCAGCAACAACCACTACGACCGCAACGTATTGCAGAGCCGCAACAACAACAACAACAACAACAGCAGCAGCAGCAGCAGCAACAACAACCGCAACAGGCACAAGTGCCAGCAGCACTTAGCAATGGCAATGCAGCACCGTCAAGACAACAACAACAACAACAACAGGCACATGCTCCAAGAGCAGCCGCCGTTGCAGCTGCACCACCCGCACCACCCGCGCCACCTGCACCATCGCAGCATGCAACAACCACGCAATTGGTGTCCGTATCGGTGGCGTTGTTGCCAACCACTAGTGTGGCTGCTCAGCTGCAACGGCCAGCCACCGCGCCAGCACGCACCACCACCACCAACAACAACAACAATAATGGCCATGGCAACAACAATATGGGCCAACAATATACTAGCAATATAGCCAGCTATATAAATCAAGTGAATATGCATCTTAATATAAATAACAACAATAACAACAGTGGCAACAACAACAACAACAACAATAACCAGCCGACACAGCAGCTGGCCAGCAACAACAACAACAACAACAATGAGAGCAGCAGCAACACAGCAACAACCAGCCATCTGGTAGTTAGCGGCATAAGTGGTGCCAGCACTGGCGGTGCCACCACGGGGGGCGGGGGTGGTGGTGGCAGCAACAACAACCACATCTATGTCAATCCACACTCCTATGACAGCAGCACTGGTGGCAGCATCAGCGGCTCAACGGCCATTATGCTGCCAATGCCGCTGCAGTTGGTGCCGGACAACAACAACGGCGCCGGACTTGCAACAAGTAGCAGTTGTGCACTGTCTCGCCAGCACACCTCAACCACACTGAGCACCCTCAATACATATCTCTTTCCCTGTGGTGCTGATTCGGCGGGCACCATTGGCGGTGGCACCTTCAACGGCAGCACCAGCTGCGATCTGGACAGCAACTTTAGTCAAATGGTTGCGGGCAGCGAGGCAGGCAGCTCCACATTTAGTGCAGGTGGTGGCGGTGGTGGTGGTGTTGGTGGTGTTGGCTTGAGTACCGGCCTCGGTGGCTTCATTAACAAGCGACGCATACGAAAATTGTTTGGCGTAGGCAACGGTGGTGGCAGCTCGGCCGGCGATAATTTCGGTGTGGCACCCTACGCGTCAGCGCTGCGACGTCGCAGCTCGCATCTCGTACAGTTCCATACCGCCGCCTTCGCCAAAAAGAAACAACAACAGCAACAGGAGCAAATGGAGCAGCGCATTGCGACAGTAGCTTCGGCCAATGCCGCCTTTCTGGAGCGTCGAGAGCAGCAACAGCAGCAGCAACAACAACAGCAACAACCACTGCAACCAGTTCACATGCTGCAGCAGCCACAGCCAAAGAAAAAGAAGCCACCCGGTCCACCAGCTCAGATGAGGCAACAGGCCTCACGCACCATGGACCAGGACCCATTGATGAATCGACCTCGCAAGAATACGCCGGCCAGCGGCAAGAAGAAAGAGACGACGCGCGACTATGAGAAGTACCCCCTAAAGCAATTATTCATTAGTTACTTAACCCACACCCGTTCACCACCCGTACCACCCATCGATGCAAAACCGCACAGAAAAGCCACCACCCCGTTAAAGATGATCTATTATTTCTTCTTATTCTTCTTCTTATTCTTTTCCAATTCATTTGAGATTTTCTTTTTCGGGGAGCAAGTAATTATAAATAAATTTCATAGGAGTTGAAATCCTATTCGAAGGTTTATATTTCACACATAATTCTAGCCAGACATTTTCCAAATTGTATATTTTAAAACCTTTTTTAGAGAATTCTGTTACTGTCAATAGCTAGATTGCCAATTGTAGCTCAAAATACGCTAACATGGCGATATTTGAAGAAATAAGTTGGCTTGAAAACTTTCTTTTGAGCTCAGATTGTTATATACATTCAAATCTACAAATATGTTTAAAATTTTATAAGTTTGTCAGAGATGATTGGACAGAGTTTTGGTTTCTGCTGATTATTTGGCTTCGTGTTCAGACCCTTCATCCAATAAGTCTAAGTGACTATGCAGGTAGAAAACATTTGCAACCGCGTTTCGTGAAGTGGGCCACAACATAAACATATCATAATTATAATTTTTGGAGCAGCAATGAGTCCGCACAAGGGGTCAAAAAAATCAACGGTATGTCCGCAAAAGTTCTCGTTGTAGAGCCGAATTGCTGGCTTAAAATGCATTTTAAGGTTTTCCAACTTATTTCTAGCTATATTTCAGTGATTTAAGATCACAGCAGTATTTTTGAACCATTTAACTTGTTATATTTCAACAACAGTATGAACCGACCCGCTGATCGGATTAAATACTGCACACCTGTGTCTAAAATATTTTGTTTAATGTTAATGTCGGACATAAGAGAGGAGTGCAGATTATACGTCGAACAGACGTAATGCAATTGTTTTCAAGTTGGTCTAGCTCTTGAACCTTACACTGATATACTTTATTTAATTACATTTATTTTCTGTCATTGTTAGATTGATTTACAGCTTTGGGGGTCTACTTACCTCTCATAAAATTCGTTTTTAATTAAATTAATTTGTCCATTAAACTACCGGTAAACAATAAAAACCCAATCCCATCCACCCTACCTCAGAGCAACAAATTTTTTGTACACCATATATTCTTAGTATATAATAATTATATTTGAATAAAGCAGTTTCTTAAAGCATACAAAGAGGCGCAGTTTTCTTTTTCGCTTTATTGGCTTTAATTTTTAGTACTCTTTTATGCTGCTGCTGCGCTTATCAATCTATCAATCAATCAATCAAACGAGCAAACATATTTGTAGCTTAATGCGCTTCACCGGCTTCTGCTTTTGGCTTCTTGGTTGTTATACTTGTATGCGCACAGCTTTTAGGGTAATTTACAGCTGCGACATCTGGAGGGCCAACGCCCGAAATTCTCGTATATAGTACATACTTATATACGAATAGTATGTGTATGTAGTACGTATCTGCAGGCGAGCATCAAACATGCAAGAATACGGAACAAAAAGCCAACTCGCTTGCTTTGCATGTACTCGTTTGTATGTGTGTCGCGTATTTTGAGGGTTAATGTGCGTCCAACATGGCGTATGTGTAATGCGGCCCAAGACGGGGTCATCAGTTCAACTATGCCCGGCCACCAACAAGAGCAGGGACTGACTACGACTCTGACTCTGACTCTGATTCGGACTCCGACTCTGACTTGCTGCTACATAATAAACGAGTCAATGGCCGAGCGCTGGCCGTGTGACAACGCGCCGTTATGACTTCCGCCTGGGTCTGGCTATGATTTTTGGCTGCCGGCGCCATGTCGCAGCAACAACAACAACAACAATGAGGAAAAGTAGCAACAACCTCTGTGAAAATCAGTAAAAATCAGCTAAAATCTGCGGCTTCTTGCCAACAGCAGCGAACTAAACTAAATGCGTAGTCATCTGTGCGTCTAACTGGAGCCAACATAACTCACAAACGCACACACGCACACACACACACATACATATATGCACACATACTGACACGTTTCCAGCAGCCCCAGCTGCCTGGCTTTTTGTTCGCAAGTCTGCCAGTTCGTCTGTGTGTCTTTCCTTTTCAATGCGTAGGTATATGTGTGTGTGTGTGTGCGTCTATAAGCAGTATAAGAAATTAAATTATCCGACTTTTCAACTCTTACACACACACACACACACACACGCACACACACACACAATGCTACACACTCAGAGTTGGGAATATTTTTGGAATGTTGTGTTTTTCTGTTTTACCGTTTTCTTTTATTTTTCTTCTTTTTTTTTTTTGCTGCTGCCAACGGTGTTGAGTTTCTCTTTGACATTGTTGGCCATCATGGCATTTAATTAATGGAGGGTAGAGCGACTGGGCGACTCGGTTACATGTTTCATGTTTCATATTAAGTGCTGGGGCTGGGGTCACTCGTTAATTGCCCACACACATGTATGCAAAATGCTCAAGGTCAAACAAACGTCAGCAGCTATAAAACCAACAACAACAACAACAACAAAAACAACGACGACGAAAAGTAACGGCAACAATTTAACCTCGCAAGCAAGCGAGTGGATCATGCACAATGGCTATGCACCATGGGCTCCAATGCCATGACAATTATTCATTTATATCTATTATATTCTTGTTATGCATGAATATTTTATGAATGTCTGTACCTACATATATCGTAGTATTTGCATTTAAAATTCGCCACCTCTAGTGTTTATTTTGCCATACAAGTATTGCTTACATATCTTAAGAGAAAATGACTAACAACGCAATTTTGCTAATATCCCAATAATCCAAGGCGAACACATATTTGTAGAACAGGAACTGCAATCATTATGTGGTATTATAAAAATTACAACACATTGATTATTTTCTAATTTTGTTCATTCGCTCACAAGATAATGATTCATTTTTAGGTTTATTTTAAAAATTGACCAATAATCATTATTTTTGATCAAAATAATAAAACTCAACGAATAATCATTATTGTTATTACTGACGGTACACTTTTAAAATGTTTATATTACTATACCTCTATATGTTTCAACGCATATTAGCCGGATTTAAAGCGCATTCACTGGATATGTGTCCATTGTTGATAATTCCATTGCCGACTGACGTGGTTCGATTGTAGCGAACGTTGTCCAGCACCGTTATCGATAACTTGTTATTCATAAGGGGAGATGCCATCACAATTAGCAAATTAACACGCTTTTTCGACAGATATGCAGCTCTGACTAGCGATTACCGATCTGAGCTTTCACGATGTTTAAAGTTCTTTAGGTTTTAATAACATTATTGAATGATACGTTAGCTATATGCAAACATTTCATACAATGTTGTACCTACTTTTCTTTTATGAGTTGAGTTTTCAGCAAATATAAGATGCCAAGAAATTCAAAAATTCCTTATAAAGCAATTGCTGGGCACCAATAATTAGACATTTGTCTACATACAAAACAGTTTCCATTCTATAAACTATTTATTAGTTTTGCTTTAACTCCCCAGAACAATCATTTTATGCGGTTCTTCTATTAAATTCTCTCATAATTTCTTTCACAACAATTTGTCAACAAAATAATCGACTACAATTAGCTAAAGGAAATAATTCAAATTTAAATACAAGTATTATGGGCGCTTTCGATAACAGCACAAATCTAGTTTAGTTATGGTACTTTTTTTATGTTTTCAACATTCTGCTTTTCAATTACATACTTTCACAATCAGCAATGTGTAAGTCCCAAATATTGCTATTTATTTTTGTTTGGTAACGGCAGAAAGCTTAGTCTAATTCCGTATAGTACAATGTCTATTATTTAAAAAAATAAAAATATGTTTTGCTTAGTTTGTTCATTAATGGCTGCTGCCGAGCAATGGTTTAACGTGTAAATGCGGCTTTGCGTTTCGTGTGCCTTCTTGTAGATAAGGAAATGTTGTTTTAAGGACTTTCAAATGCGAAACATATCAGATATCAATACCACATAGAAGTGTTATTTCTAAAAACCAAACTTTTTCTAAGCGTGCATTGGCTCTTACTCTTGAAATGAGAAAAATGAAGCTGTGATCCTCTATATCGGTAAATTTTCATAGATTGAAGCTCCCCTTGGGTTTACAGATAAGCTTATTATGAAACTGTTGAATAGCACTTAGTGTAACGACTATATAATATAGTTTAGTAAAATTTGCAGCGAAAACGAATTTGGCTATAAACAATAAGGAGACTGTCTAAATAAATCGACTGACCGCATAATATTTAGCAATGTAATGTTATGTTACACACGCAATTACAATTTTGTGGATATGAACATTTTGCGAATCAGTTTTGTGGAAATTAGCTTTGCTTTCAATTTAGAAAACCATTCATTTACATTTTAAGCGACACCTCAACTGGCATTTGGCCAAGTTTGTTGTAGGCTGAGGCCAAAACATGATTTGGCAAATGTTACAAGCAAATGCATATACATTTATATATGTATACTACTTATATATATGCATGGTAGGCATGTGTATGTACTTTGGATTGGCTATGGATGTAGATTATACACTTATCTGATTTCTATTTCACTTTTCTGCTAATTGCATTTTTTGTCCCATTGTGCGGGCGCTGATTGAAGTTACTCCCGACTTCAATTTGCACAATTAAAATGGCGTTTGAGGGGGCGTGGGCGTACACGTGGGCATGACCCTGTGGTCGTGTGGCGCTTGGGTGTGATTGTGCAGCCTTAACCCAGTGTAAGGATGTGCGTATGTGTGTGTGTGTGTGTACGAGTATGTGTGCTTGCGTTGGCGCTTCAAATCGCGATCCATTTCCCTCTTCATTTTGGCCATTTATGTAATGGCGTACACACTCGCATATTCTTGTTTTTCCCTCTTTGTTTTCTGTACCAGCTACTCCATCATGCACAATAGGCAAAAAGGAAGAACAAGAAAAAAGAATCATAAACACAATAACAAAAAGGTTGCGAGAAAATTGCTTTAATGTGCCTTGCGTGTGTCGTGTGCTTTGACGT